GGGGGAGGGGCTTGCATCACAAGTTATTCCACTTGGTACCTGATAAGGAATTGGATAGCTGCATGGAAGCAACTAATACAGGTAATGCTACCCAGGCTGTCTTCCTTCATAATAGGAAATATGCAGCCCACCCACCCTAGTGTATAAGGGAGTTATACTTACAATCTGCAAGTTTGAACTTTGAACCAAAGACACCTTACTTGGGCACAACTGATAATTTGATCCAGATGAACCATATCCATCCCTCTATTTGAGGGGGGGAAGAACAGGAAAATAAGATCTGTTGACAAGTCAGATATGAATTACTGCTAGACTTATTAGAAAAAGCTCTCTCAGCAAAATAAAATCACCAAATCCTCTTGCAAATGTCAAGATTTGAGCCCATATATATCCAGATGGACTACAAGGAGAAAAATATAACAGCTTGCCCAACGATAGAGCTTTTGAAACAGTTTCCTTCTTAGAGCGATCATATACTTTGCAGTAGATATATTGCATTGATATGAAAGCCAAATTGAACTGTACATTTAAATTTATGTTTTCCTCTCCACCCAAATTGAATTGCTTCTGAAAAGAAGATATCTAGAACTTCACAATTAGCATGAAACATTCCTTCTTGCTATATGATAAAATTGCTATGGTCATATATTCCATTAACCTATTTCACCTGTTTCCATTTTTGCAGTTAACCAATCAAAGATATAATAGATATAAGAGTAAAACAGATAATCTGGCACATGGTCAGTCAACAAAATAAAGATAAATATAATAATAGATGAGACTTAAGAAATTTAATGTACCTGCCGCTGCTGAGCATCTTGTGGTGAAGGCCAGAACAACGAGGAGAATTGGAGACCATCAATCCACCTTTCACATGAACTAGACATGGGAGTCTCTCCTAGAAAAACCTCGCCAAGCCTATGGGTGCAATTTAAATGCTACAGAAGCCGGTAAAACCTCAAGCTTTACCTTCAACTGGTTACTAGCCAATAATAAGACATCTGTATTTTGGCACTCGAAGCAGAGCATCACTTCCACCTTTCCGAAACAATCATTTACGGCAAAAGTATCAATCTCAATTCTCGATTACAAAATAATAACTTCCGCCCATGAGTCTTTCCATAAAACTACGTTTCTTATCTTCATCATCTTCATAGCTTCAGAAAATGAATCTAATTACACTTCAAAATTTTCAACCCATTTAAAATATCCAGATAGATAATTCCACTTTGAGTTTATGCAGAATCAACAGTAAAAGAAACCATAATATAAAACAATATCAATTAATCAGAAAAGCCCAAAAAGGAGAAAAAAAAACATCTATCAGTGAGCCTCCACTTCAAAAGCTAACATGAAACAGAGACATTTTTCTCTCTATAATCCAAATAGAGAACCTTCTTCCAACTGGAATCCATCGCATCCGGATTCAAAAGAATGCAGAAAAAAGAAAAGGATAAAGGAAACATCTCCTTACCAATGTCAGCCGAACCCGAACTCCAGAAGAAAAATATACATATAAAATCACGGAATTCTTGACAAAAATCCTGAAAAAAAAAATCTAAGAAAAAAGACGATGACGGCCTACCTGGTTTTGCTTTCTGAGTACGTATAGAGTCACGAAACTCTGTTGTTTTCGGCTTTGCTTTCTATGTCTGCTTCTCTCTGAGCCTGTGCTAATGGAAAAATCGAAAATGATTTTTTTTCAGAACATTTTAAGGAGATTGTGGAGAGAGAGAGAGAGGAAAATCTTTCGCCGGTTCCGAGTTAAACCAAGCTGGCACACCCGATCTCTGCATCTGTGCATACGTGGCATTGATATTTTTTGCAACCAATTGGAGATGGATGTCACTGCATGCATCGTCTATCAATCCACCTGCATGTACTTTTACCCCATACATACATGATGAACATGCATCCACATGCCATATTAAAATATTTCTGAGACAAAGTGGTCAAAACCGTCAACTAGTTCGGGTGGACGGTGAAAGGACCAAATTGGCCTTCAGAAGATGTTTAGCAATTAAATAATGAGATAATAAGATTGTGGTGAATAGTTAATTAATTTTCTTAAGAAATCTACTTAGATATTTTTGGCAACTCTTCCGTGGATTATGTCCTACTCAATGTCGTACATCCTGAGAGAGATGGACGCATGTTCATCATTTACATCAGGTGGGGTAAACGAGCTGCACGTGTGATATAACTCATTCACAGCACCAGAAACATGAAAGAAGGATATAACAAAACTATCAAAGGAAGTTTGGTGGCCGTAGAACGTGCATCCACGTCGACGTCGTAGCTGAGCCAGAGCATGACACATATCGACCTTGCATAATAGCATCAAATTCTCCTGCCAACGACTTTTGCCCACGTCTACAGCCACATATCACTACCTCGTGCATCTTCGTGCATCTGGGAACATCTCCGCGTGCATGATCCTATATAAGAGGATATATAGGAGGATGATATGCGAGTACACAGGCAAAATTATTGTGGGGTAGGAGATTGGGACTCAATGATATGTGTGTAGATGGTAATTTATATCATATCCGGTGGATAAGTTACACCCGTGGATGGATTTTGGGGCGAGAATAGGTTTTGGGATTCTATAACTCATATAGGTGGGTTGGGTTAGTTATTTAATTTAATAATATTTTAAATTTTATGTGAAGGATAATTAATAGTATATGTGATTTTTTTTCATGTTTCCATCAAATAATTGGGAAATTTGTTGTTTGTTCATGTTATTTTACCTATTTATTACCTATATATAACAAGAAATAACAAGAAATTATATGCAAGTTCTAAACCCAACCTACCTTACCCTTGAATGTGGGGAGAGTAGGATTGGAGACAGTTTTGCATTTTCATGTGTAGGGAGGGTTTGGATAGAAGTGTAAATTGGGTCGTGCCGCCTATACCTTGTCTCGATTGTCACAAGTCATGTCGAGCTTGGGGTTTCATATTCGTGTGCTAAGTCGGCATGCCCTGACAGTGTGGATTGTGCCTCTCATGGCCCGTGGGTTAGCACCCCCCCCCCCACACACACATATATATGGGAAAATTCCCGATCAATACCCTGTACTTTGGCTCGAGTGACAATTTGGTCCCTGAACTTTAAAATGCGACAATCTAGTATCCAAACTTTCGTTTTGCAACAGTCTAGTACCTGGCGTTAACTTACCATTAAGTATCATGGGAAAATACACAAATGCCCCTTAAGTTTCATCTAATTTTTTACTATTCATCATCTCCATTGAACACCGCCACTATTCCTTACCATTATCTAAAGACAAAAAATCAAAACAAAGCTAATAGAATCATCTCTTGTCGCATTGTCTGAGTTCAGGTTAGGACATAACCTAGATGCTTCATTTGAGACACAAACAACAATCATTTGCTAACAAACACACCAGAAAACGTAGATCAATACATCTGAGACACAAAAGAGAAAACCAGAGAAAAACCGAGCTAAGAAAAAGAACTAAACACCAGAACTAACCATGGTTCGGACTTGTGCCCTAACAATCGGCATTACATATAAACAACAATCATTTGCTACATTTACGATGTTAGACGAATGGCACAAGAAACCAAACTCCATCCTTTCCTACATTTCAGATAGAGATAGAGGACCAATGATGGAGCAGATGAGGTGAATTAGTGGAAGGCTTTCGGTGAGTGCAGGCCAAGATCAATAATGCCAAAGCGATGAGACCCAACATGGCCGCTATGCCATCGTGAAACTCATTTGCCTATACCTTTGCAAAGCTACAGAGAGAGAGAAAGAGAGAGAGAGAGAGAGAAGAGCCCCAAGAGAAGAGAAATACAAAGAGAGAGATGGAGGTGGAACCTGCAAGTGCAACTCCGCCTGCATCTACTTCCATCGGAACAGACCAACAGAGATGAGGAAAGCAAGAGCAACTGATGATGAAGATCATGATAACAGCACGTGTGTGCTGTCCATTAGATGGACAGTCTTAAACTCTTTATCCTCCCACTAGCCATGGTGGTGGCCAACGGCGAGCCCTTTGGACTCTGTTTCATTTTCTTGAGAAAGAAGATGATGAACGATGTATTTTTTAAGGGTAATTTTGATATTTCCAAAATTCTTAAATCGCATATGAGGTCACATGATATACATAACTAACGGTCCATTAACGATAGGTACTAGATTGTCACAAAATGAAAGTTTGGGTACAAGATTGTCGCATTGTAAAGTTCGGGTACTAAATTGGCACTCAGCCTAAAGTACAGGGTACCTATCGGGAATTTTCCCTATATTTTATTAATATAGTTATATTATATATATATATAAATTATAATTATATAACAATATAAGTATATGATATATTAATAAAATAAACAATTATTTTCAATTTTATTATACTATTTTATTTAATTATTGTACATATAAACAATTGTATACATCAAAATTCATATAAAATAAAAATTTTAAGATTTTTTTCAATTTTTTTAAATAAATATCTTTAGCCCAATTCACGACTCGACCAAGCCTAAGGCTCAGCCCATGAACCAACCCATCTCATGGCACAACACAACACAATACCGGCCTGTACAGGCTCGGGCCATGGGCCATGCTTGGCCAACCCCCCAAAATATCACAAAGGAGAGAGGCATGGCCCGTGGGCCACATGCGGATTGTGTCATGATAGTATAGTACAACCCATTTTACACCTCTAGGTTTGGAAAATCCTCGTCAAACCTACCTTATTACCATTCCTACTCTATAACACCATCATAAAAAACAGTGGCGAGGTCAGGAATTTATTTTAAGGGGTGGCAAGTTATTTAACTTTTTAACACAAGTAAAGTGAGAGAGGGAGGGAGAGCATTCTGGTATTATTTTTCCCTTAGTCTTCTTGGCAAAAAAGAAAAGAAAGGAATGGAATAGGGAGTAGAGGATGTAAGGTTTGGAGAGAAATAAGTTGGGAGGGTTTGGGTGGGACCAAGAAAATAATCGTTTTAACAAAAACGTGAGGGTGGGGGGCAAGGACCCTCCATACTGGTTTAACGAAATTAGCATTAGGTTTCTCTCCCACCATACTGAAGGATGAAACCAAATCAAGAATTCAAAACTGTTGTAACTAACTAGTGATGTGGCATAGCATATTGCCCAAGTTGGCCCAACTATCTTTTGTATATGTGTGCATATTGGTGTCTTGCCCACTTACCGAAGAAAACTACTTTACCTGACAGCATGTGACATGCAATGCCTAACAAGAACAAGTTTGGCCTTGAGAATGACAACGCACTCCAAACTAGATTAATCAATAGCTGATGATAGAGCACGGATCAAGTGTAATTCCACGGTTATCTCATGCATCTTTAATTCACTTTCTCAAGAGTTGCACAAGAGTGTTGGCTATGCATATGTTGCTTGAGAATTTTGGAGTGATCTTGAGGAATGATTTTCTCAAGGCAACACATTGAGAATATACCAATTGAAAAGAGACCTTTTGTTGATAAGCTCCATTAATTCATGATGGGCTTCAATAATGTCTTGTTGGGATTCATGTATGAATAGTTGAAGAGAATCCCATATTGAAAATGAATAAAAGGTGTAAAAGATTTATATACAAGAATGGCCCATAACCTAATACCTTAAGCTTATGGGTTGTATGCGATGCCCTTCTCTTGTGTGCAAGTCTTATGTGCATATATGTGTATGGTCCCCTAGTTTTGATGACTCCCCTCAATTAGAAAGGAATATAAGAGTGGCCCATAACCCAATAGCTTAAGTTTTTGTGTTGTATGTGTATGTACATGTACATACTTCTCTCAGAAAGGATCGTTGTTCCAAGAAGAAAAAGAAGAAGAAGAAGCATCCATTATAGCTCTGACACTACCTTCTTCTCTTGTTGGTGTTTGCAGCAATGGAGAAGGAAGGAAAAAAAAGAAGAAGACAAAGAAGAAGAGAGAGAAAGAAGACATGTTTTGAAAATTTAATGAACAATTAAGAACACTTTAGTCCTTTGAAACTACAAGAAATGTATAAATCCTTACCTTCTTACCTTCTTGATTGTAAGAAGGTAAACATGAAAATTCATTACATAGAATGATCTCCTTACCTTCTTGATCCCAGGTTTGCATGAGAGTTTATTGGTTATGCTATTCATTTTCTTTGTTTTTGAATAGTGATTAGTGAACTGTTCATTTAATAGTGATATGTGAATACCGTTTTCCTATTTAATTGATTATATTTCTTCAACAGCAACAAAAAAAAAGAGTTCTCTTTTATCATGTCTAAATCCTATTTTATCATGAAGTCTATCTATGATTTTTTTTTTGATGGTACATCTATCCATGAATTCTAGTTATCATGTGAATTCTGTTTTATCCATGAATTCTAGATATCATAAAGCCTTCCCAAAAAAGACTTACCCGGGTAAGTGCATTTACCCATGTTCTTTTATTTCCCCTATAAATAAGGTAATGACCATTTTAGCCATAAAAATTCATTATTAAAAGGGACATTTTTGTTCCATTCAAGTGTTGGCAGATTTCCCCTCAGGTGGGAAAGTTATTTACCCACCTAAGAGATGAGTAAGTGATACCTAGAAAAATAAATTTCCCTTGGTCCCCACATAGATATGAAAAAAAAACATGGGATTCTTGGTCAATGGGAATCAAAATCCCATTGACCAACTTTCCCCCTCTCAAAATCCAAAAAAAGAACGCCCCCAAAATTTTAGTTATTTGTTCTTTTAAATGTTATGATTGTTTATGGAGTATGCCCATAATTTTTAATTAAG